TGTTCGGTGTCTCGTCTCCTGTGGCTGGGCTTGGGGAATGGACAGTGCCTGCCCTCGCCTGACCCCCGCAAGGCACGGAGGCAACCAGAGGGATTAAATGGTGCAAGCCACAGGGAGGGCTTTTTCTTTTCTTTTTTTTTTCTTAAAAAAAGCTGCTCAGAAGACAAAAGCCTCAAGGAGGGAGTGGGGAGAGAAGGGAAGTAGCAACCGGGAATGACTTTTAGCAAGGTGGCCCCCATCAGTTTGTGTAGCCAGAGGGCCTGGGGAGGGGGTCCTTAAAAATCCACCCAGCGCCTCAATGCTGGGGGTGCCTGGGGATGTAGATGTTTCAGAGGAAGGTGAAACAAATGCTTAATTAAAATGGCTCTGGTGGTCTGGCCTGACTGACCTCTCGCTTTCCCAGGATGGGGGGGAGAAAAATGACTGATGTGGATCATGCGTGCCAAGATCCCGCAGTCTTTGCTCAGGTAGAGCTCCCACCGAAGTCAGCGCACGACTCCCCTGTTGACACCAGAAATCCCCCTACAAATCCCGAGGAGGAAGGAGAGCGTTTTCTCGGAGAACAATTTGCCGTCCGATTTCTGCCGGCAGAAAGAAAGGATCTTGCCCCGCCACCAGGTTTCAAATCTGTATAGCCACGATTCATAATTTCTCCGCGGAGCTGTGAGCGGCAGTGTCAGGGTTAAGCGAGACCATCTGCATGATCGTGTTTTACCGAAAACAAATGCATGTCATGAAAAGTTCTTTTTTCCCCGTGGCTCCAATCCAGGCTGTTGACTTGTTGTTTGGCAAAAGGGGGCAGTATCAAACAATGCCACAAAGAAATCTGCTCCTTGCAGCTCCGAGTCGGAGTTTGTGTCAGGCATTAGCGAGCATGTGCCCGGGCACTGGAGATGATCCGATAGCCCTGGCTGCTGATTTCAGTGACTGCTTACCTGAGTAGGTGTTGCATGATCAAGGCCCCCATTGTTTTACTCCAGACTTGCAGCCATTTGCAACATGCCTAAGTTGGGTTTTTTCTCCCCCCAATTACATCTTTTGGAGTCGAAATAATACCATCTGGTTTCAAAGCCACTTTTTTTTTCCTATTAAGAAGGCTGAAATGATAAGGTTCTATGCTTTTGCTATGAAGTTTGCGGCAAAACTCTCATTGATTTCACTGACGGCATGATCAAACTTTTCAGCACGCCTTTTCATACCAGAAAGAGAAATGGGCATTTTGTTCTCTGTCCTTAGCTTGTTTTGAGAACTCATCTGGCTCTAGCCTAGGGGAATATATCGATCAGGCATATAGATTTGTTTTTTCTTTTTTTAAACACATGCAACCTTTAACCTTTCCTGTACCTACGCGGTTGGCATCTTTGTATTCTGCATAACTTTTGGTATAAAACTGACGTGTTTTAATATAGAAAAATCAGGTGACAAATAAATGCATTTCATTAGAAACAAGGATTGCTGACGGGGGGAAGCCAAATCAAAACTTGCTTGTCACCTTTCTTTCCTATGTTTTAATTTTCCGTTGGTCTCATTTTGCGCAAAGAAAATTGCTGGAGCTAGTTGTACTTTGATTTATAGCCAGTTTCACTTATGGGTTTTTACAGCTGTAATGTTTAAGTTTCAAATATTGCAGAAGGAAGAATGTTTGTTTGCTTAAAGGCTGTTTTTAGAAACCACTCCACAACTTTTACGGGTTTAACTCAGAAAAGATTTAAAAATAAATAAATACGGGGCAAATTGAAATAGATAGTAGGAATCATAGTAGTAATTGTTTTTTGTTGTTGTTGATATTTATGAGTTGCTTTAAGTAACGGTGGCTCAGATCACGGTTGGAATTGCTGGACAGACCCCGGAGAAATTCACTGTGGTTGTTTGTGCAGAGGATCCTGTTGCACCTCGTCCACCAACTCTAGCTGGGGCCTCAAAACAGGATGGAAACGATGCAGAGGCCTTATGCTGATCCTCTGCACATGGCCGAGCTTGGAATATTCTAATGCACATTATCCTGATTTATGCAAAGGGATTGCTTTGAGGCACTATGGCACTGCTCAGCTAGCCCCACTGTAATGCTAATTGTTGCTGTGAAGAGTGTGCTGTAAAAAGACTTCAGTTGGAATTTGGAACAAAATACCCGTTCCTTTTTCTATTACTGTTTTTTTTCTTTTTTTGTGAGCTCCCCTGCTTAGGAAAGAGAAATTGCACTCTTCTAGCAAGGTGTGCCGCATGGGCCTGGAAATGCATTGTAATTCAGTGTCCTTCTTCCTTTCTCCTGGACAGCTGCATGTTCTGGGAGATGCAAGGGTGCATTTAATCTTGAGGCCCTTCATCAAAATTCCCATTAGTCTCAGCGGGAGTTATCTGAATAAGGACTACAAGGTTGCTGAAGCTTTTGGAGGCGGACAGTGCTTTCTGCCCTGCATAGGCTGTTCAGAGTGGAGCTTGCCTTCATCATTTTGTCCCCATTCCTGTCATTTGTGGAGGACGACAGTGCTGGTGGCTGTCCCCTGTTCCAGATTCAAGGCTTGTTCACCAAAGCCAGCAAAGCTCTTAAGCATGCTGGCAACTCTCAGCTGCTAAGAAACAGCTAGTGCTCTGCTGGATTGTGGCCTATATTAAATACTCTAAGAAGGGCATTTGCAGTTTTTAAGCTCCATAAAATGTATCCTGGCTTTCTGCAAACTTCTCACGACCGGCATAGGAGAACCGGTGTTGTTACAGAACGAACGGCTATGAACCAAGTTTTCCAAACTCAATAAATGCGGCATGTAATTATTCAAGAAGGATGTTACCTGGTTGCAGAAAGCAGCTTTTTTTCCAGGCATACGACTACTGGCCTGCTTTAAATTTAAGCCTGTGCTGGGCAAAGAAAACTGTCTTTCCTTTTTAGGGAACTTCAAACAGATCACAAGCAAACATGCTAATTGCTAGGCTTAATCTCCCAATCAATCATGAGCACACTGAGAGTTCATCAGAAGTCTGGGTGACTTCTGATTGTTTGTCATTCAGCTGTAGGTTGTGGAAGAAGTGCAGGATTGTGTCCTTGCATGGGCTGCACCTCAGATCTGTGCGTGCTTAGTGCTCTCGACTTGTGTCAGTCGGGTGTCTGGCAGAATCGGTACCATGCAGGGTCAGGCCTTCATCAGATGCCACAGCTTCTGACCTTTGTGGGTGACCTGCCTCCTAGAGCTGACTAAATGCCTGTGTGTTTCCTGGCTTCAAAATAAAATGCACTCGGCCTGGTAGGTTATTTTAAGGAACCAAACAATTTGCAATGTGCTGGTTACAAAGCCTGGACTTTATCCACTGTGCAGCAACTTGTTAGTGCAGCGGTTCTCAACTTGTTTAGACGCCAGCCACCCCTCAGAAAATGTCAGGTCCTGGCTTTCACTCAGGTTTTGATCACAGAAAAACAGAGCAGTTCTTCTGTTGCAAAGCACTCGGTGTACAAACAGGGTAGAATAGTTTGTTTTTTTTAACAGTGTGGATTTCTCTTTGAAATCTCTGGATTTATCTTGTGAATCATGTTTGCAACATGCAACAGTGCTAACATTGTGTGGCACCCTTGAAAGGGAATGGAGGCACCCTAGGGCATCGCAGGCCCCTGGATGAGAATCACTCTTTTGGTCCATGTGGCTAGCTGAGATGTAGCAGCCCACAAATCAAAATCACAGGGCATATCTATATGTGTGCTTTAATGCGCATTAGCTGATTTTAATGCGCATTAAAGCATTGCAAAAAATGGTGTGCTTTCACTAATGTGCATTAAAATAAGGTTGGGTGGACAGTCACCTGTTAGACTGGTTAGACTGGACAGTCACCTCGCTGGGGTCACTTGACCCCAGTTGTCTTCCTGCCTAGAGCAAGGGGGCTGGACCCGACAATCTGCAAGGTCCCTTCCAAAGTCTGACTCCATGAATAAGGTAATGAGCCTTTTTCTGGTCCCTCACAATGGAGTACTAAATTTAATGCGCATTAGGAAAAGCGCATTAATGAACATGTAGAGGCGCCCATAGTCATGTGTTTTGTTATGTATAGTTATGTATACTCTGCTGAGCTCCAAGAGCTTGTCCCTACCTTCGGATCCATGAAATGAGCTCCAAAATTAGGTCTAGTGTGTAAGAGTCTAATCTTGTGAGATGCCAAGGGCCCGTCCTTGAGTAGTTAGTAGAGGCCATAAGGCCTTGTGCCTTTGGTAGGACATTCCTGGAGACCTGCATAATTGGACGGGGAGCAGAGAGGCTGCTTGCAGCCTTTGCTTGTGCGAGTAAAGACTGGAGGACTGAGCCTTTAAGAAGCCAGTCCACAAACAATTT